ACACACACACACACACACACACACACACACACACACACACGTTACTAATATTATCAAGCAATGTGCCTAAATGAGCCGAAGATGTTACAATCAAAAGTAAAAACTCAGATACACGACTATGCAAATTGTGACAACCAAACACCCATGTTCATAAGACTTAAGGCAACAATAATTGCAGGTGTACAGAAACAATAACAAATATAACACCAGCTATGTTTTGATTTTACATGCACAACCGGTAGTGTTTGGTCTCCTGGGCCAGGGGAGATTCTTAGGCCGGTCCCAGAGTGGCTCTGTAGGTCTGACCTGTAGCTCGCCTGGCTCGCACCGTGCAAATGAACGTATACATTATCGTGTGCCTGAGCAGCGTCGCTGTATGGACTGTCTGTTGTCAGCTGGGCTGCACGACGCGTCAGACGTACTATTCAACAGTGTAGTAAAACACGTACGTCGGAGATGTGTCGCACGCAGCCACGCTCCGTGTTTATTTTCGACTGAAATTCTTCACAGATCATCAAAATCAGCAAGAAGTAAGTATTATTAGGTGCTTTGCTATTAGATATTGATGCTAGCATCAACATTTGACCACAAAATCCGAAGAAATGCACTTTATCCTACATTAAAATTTCGAATCGAGAGGTTGACCTAGTTTCGACTGTTCGTTTACTTTCGTAGGCCTCTGTGCTTCTAGCCTAGCGCAGCTGTGATGACACGCAGAGGGCGCTCACTCAGACACAGAACCCAACGCACAGTGCGCTGTGCTGACACGTAGACGGCGCGCGCCTGGCGAGCTACAGGTCAGACCTACAGAGCCACTCTGGAACTGGCCATACTCAACTCACAGAGAGGGTAGAAATACAAGCAATCTGTAGCAGAACAAAACAAAACAAAAATAGAAAGAACCAAGCTTTTGGACCCCTACCCCCCCCCCCCCCTCCAAATCCCAGGCACAGAACGACAACTAACGTTAAAAAAAGAGGCACCAACAATGTCTATGCAGGCACTACAAAAACAAAACAATTAAGAGTGCTCTGGCGATTGCTAAACAATGACAAAAATAGAATTTAAAGAATTTGGGACATACAGATACACTCATCAAAATACTCTTTCAAATTCAACGAACATGCACTTTTATGGCCTCTTGATCGTTGAACAGTCCTCTGCTAGACGACGCTATTTTGCTTTGCCCATCAAATCACGTGATGGCACTCTCTCATCCCATTGGTTCAAATGGAGATGCGACAAAACAAAATGTATCGAAATTAATGCTTATGTTGTTCCGACAGTTGTACTCTCTTCGTTTTTAATCTGCTTTGGGCATACGACAAGTGGGTTCTGGATATCTCAACAAATACTGTACTTAGAGTCTTCAAACTTACTGGAGACACAATACATGGGAATTTGAGTGCATGAGTGGTCTTCTCTCGAATTTCATGAAAAGTGGACATACGACATTTGTACTCTGGGCCGACGACTGATGACAGTCGCTGATTAAGTTTTCCAGCGTAGTGCATGACTGCTCCCCCACCCCCATCCCCCAAAGAGAAGAAAAGAAAAAAGGAAGTACTTGGTGAAATAGTGCTGGGGTCATGAACGTGTGGGCTGTGACGTTATAGGTGCATAGATGACAGTCACTAAGTAAGTTTTCCAGCGTTATGCATGACTGCCCCCCCCAAAAAAAAAAAGAAAAAAAGAGAAAAAAGGACAAAGGGGGGGGGGGTAAGGAGCAACTACATTAAAACAAAAAGAAACCGAGAAAAAACAACAAGAACAAAACTAAACAATAATACACACACAAAAACCACAAGTAATAAAAATGCAAAAAAAAAGGGGGAAAAAACAGGGACGATCATAGACGTCAAACATCATGTCATCACGTTCTGGTTTTTCAGGCCCATTAAACCGGGGCTGAACCTGTTTGTAAACCTGAACAATTTCACTTCATTTTTCTATGGGGCTACGTAAACAAATAGAAAAAATGGGAAGGGAGGATACGAAATAGGGTACAATAAATCGAAAAAAAACCCACCTTATTTAGTGTTGCAAGTGCCGTAAAACTCTTAATAAAACAAACTATAGAAAATACCTAATTTGTGTTGCAAGAGCTGTAAAACTCGTCGTACAGCAATTGAAAGAAAATACCATTTTTGTGTTGCACGTGCCGTAAAACTTAGTAAAACGAATTAAATAGAAAACAGCCTTTTTGTGTTGCAAGTGCTGCCAAACTTCGTAAAACAATTGAAAGAAAACACCCTATTTGTGTTGCACGCGCCGTAAAACTCTTATACGGGGTGCCCACTATGGCTGAAACAAAACAAACACGTTTGTTTTTTAGGCGACCGAGTCGGGCGATCGGCCTGATCGGCTGATCCCATCCGCAGTGGGCACCACGTATTAATAAAACAAAATATAGAAATCACCCAAATAATTTGCGTTGCAAATGCTGTAATATTTGTCGTGAAACAACTGAAAGAAAACACCCTGTTTGTGTAGCAAGTACCGTAAAACTCTCTTAATAAAAACAAAATATAGAAAACTCCCTATTAAAAATTTGAGTTGCAAGTACTGTAGAACTCTTGGTAAAACAATAGAAAGAAAACACCCTATTTGTGTTGCACGTGCCGTCAAACTCTTAGTAAAACAAAATATTGGAAACACCCTATTTGTGTTGCAGGTGCTGTAAAAACACTTGGCAAAACAAAAGAAAGAAAACGGCCTGGTTATAGAGGCCACAGGGAACCGCTTCGGACAGTGAAACACCCTTACAAAAAACACTGCAGAGTGAGTCGTTCTTTGGCCTCCTAAACCTGTGAGTGAGCGCCGAGCGTTGCACACATGCACAGACTGTACATGTTGTCATTAATTATTTGTAAACGGTTGTGTTGTTAGCTGGCGGGGATCTGACCCAGGACACTGACCCTGAACAGCCTTGGTTTGGATTATATATAATAATATGATATTTATAGATCTAGTCCGGTCACGGCAGAGACCCAACCAATGCATTCGACAAAATGATGACCCTGTGTGGAGGGCATCTTGACTTTGCATGAAGCAGACGTTGCGTGGAGGTGTTTGTATAGAGATGTTTGTGTGCTTGTTTGAATGTATCGCACAGCGTACCGTGGCCCACTAAGCCTAAGCATCAGCAGATCCATTACATTGTGGTACTGTCAGCATGTGACAGTTTATATCGGTTTGTGATAGTTTATATCGGTTTGTGAAAGTTTATATCGGTTTGTGACAGTATGTGGCAGAATGTGCTAGTTATTTAAGGGAAATCATCTCCCAAGACAGCACTCCCTCCCAGAATCGTTCTACCTTACTACAAAAGATTGGTACTACTCACCACAGACAGAGATCCGCCCGTGAAGATCTCCCACAAGGACTACGAGCTTATATCGGTACACCCGTGTACAGATCGCTGGCAGTTCCGTCGTTCAAAGGTAAGAACGTGCATATAAATAATATACGTGTATTACAATCTTGTGTCAGTAAGAATGTGCATATGATTATACATGTATTACAATCTTGTGTCGGTAAGAATGTGCATATTATTATACAGGTATTACAATCATACGTCGGTAAGAATATGCATATGATTATACATGTATTACAATTATATGTGGGGAAAAATGTGCATATTACATGTAGATTCTCTATTACAATCATATGTCGGTAAGAACGTGCATATAGTCATATATGTATTACAATCATATGTCGGTAAGAATGTGCATATAGTCATATATGTATTACAATCATATCAGATATGCGAGAAAACAATCGAACATAACAAAGAATCCAACATCGTCTTTATAGACCAGGAGAAGGCTTTTGACAGAGTAAACCATGCAAAACTCTGGAAGACACTCGAAAAGTATGGCGTCAGAGGACAAATGTTAGATAATGTCAGAGCTCTATATACCAACAGCAGAAGCTCAGTAAGAACGAAGGAAGGCAATACAGACTGATTCAAAGTAAGATCTGGATTACGACAGGGATGCGCTCAATCTCCCCTACTGTTTATAATATATATGGACACAATAAGGCTAAGACGCAAACCAAAGCCCAGAAAGCCTAAATGAATTTCTGTTCGCAGATGACCAATGTCTTATTCATCTTGACCAACAAAGCCTCCAAAATCACACTACCTAACTCAACAACAGCTGTGAGAATTTCAACATGAAAATAAGCACATCAAAGACAGAAGTTGTGAAAGTGAGCCGAAACCATAGTCCCCTGAACATCCATGTCAATAGTAAACAACTGAAACAGGTGGAGGAGTTTAAATATCTTGGCAGTCCATTTCCTGAAAACGGGTCCATAGAGAGAGAAATAGAACTGCGAACTCAAAAAGCCAACGCTGTCACCTACCCGCTCGCACCCCTCCTATCGCATCCAGACATTTCAAAGGACACAAGGAGGCAGCTTTTCACCTCAATATTCATACCAACATTATGTTATCAGTGACAGACCTCGACTTTAAGTAAAGCCCATGAAAGCAAAATCTCCGCAAGCGAAATGAAATGTCTCCGTAAAACCCTTGACATCACAAGACGAGACAGGCAGAGAAAGGAAGAATTAACAGCAGCTATCGGCACTGAGTCCAGCCTGCGTTACATAGAAGACAGAGGATAAAATGGTTTGACCACCTGTTACGCATGTCACCTGACCAGCCAGCCTCGAGAGCCTACAACACCAAGCACTTAGGAAACCCTAAGAAAACATATCATCACAACTGAAAGAACAGCGGAGCTAACCTACCATAGAAAACTGCATCTCCCCTCGACGCTTAACGGCAACAGAGGATGAAAAAGTAAAAGGTGAAAGTAAAAGTACAATCATATGTGGGTAAGAACGTGCATATAATTATACATGTATTACAAAGATACGTTGCTGCTACTTTACATTTGGCCCGTCTCATGCTCAGATTCTAAAGTACTTTCTTTGTTCATTTTTATTTGCTCTACAGGTACTGTGACTTTGTACCCACTACAAAATAATTATTAGTTAACGAGATGTATGGATGGATTTATACGAATTATACTCAAACCTCGTATTGTTACCGCCCCACCCCACCCCCACCTCGTTATACCGCCAGCCCTGCTTACCCCCAGGTTAAGCCAAAATATGCAAAGAGGAACGTTGATGTAAACATAGTATTTGCGCGTTTACACCGCCAGACGCCAACTGTCAGGTACAACTCATCAAATGAATGTAAATTAGCCTCCCTATACCGCCAACGAACTGGCCGCCAGAGGTACACACTATGACACAGCACACGGCACCTATCGATGACTGATTGCTTGGTTGGAGGGGGGTAGGGGGGAATGA